GTTTTTGATTAATGGCGTTTTGTGGGCGTGGCAGTGGTCCGATTACGCCCATCTACAATACCAACCGTCTTACTGTACCAAGAAACATGTGTGCCAAGTTTTATAAAGATATCTCAATTTTTACTCAAGTTACAGCTTGCACGGACGGACAGACGGACAGACAGTCACCCGGATTTCAACTCGTCTCGTCATCCTGATAATTTATATATACATAACCCTATATCTAACTCGATTAGTTTTAGGTGAACAAAACTATTATACTCTGTAGCAACATGTTGCGAGAGTATAAAAAGTAGCTGGATCGGATTTGAGCCGTTCTCAATTCACGGGCACTCACAACACTCTCGCAAGATCCCTACGACTTCACAGACCTAACTCCAGGGCTCCATTTTCTCAAAGGAGCACCCATTCTGGCCATACCTGAGCCAGGCGTAGGGTCGCTATCCTTATTAAATCGATGGGAAAGAATCAAAATTCTCCATTATGATTTCAGCCGCCGATGGAAAAAAAAGTACATCAAGGACCTTCATAAAAGGTACCGAAGGAAAACTCCTGAAAAGGCATCAAAGCTTGGAGACTGTGTCATCATGATTGTGTACCACCCACATAATGGCGGCTTGGCCGCATAGAAAAACTATATTACTACTATCCGACGGTCATATACTAGTAGTTGATCTCCGTACTCAAAGCGGAACGCTAACAAGACCGCTCGTGAAATTATGTTTTCTCCCAACCGCATCTAATGACGAAACCGCAAATAACGAACAATCCACCGATATTACCGCAACGCAAATGAATTAATCATATAAACCGATAAACCCGCAAATGACAAAAGAGTTGTAAGTGCTAACCATTCTAACCACAATGACCGATCAAGTTGACGATCCATTCCTGCCACATACAGTGGCACAGATATGACCACAACACCAACGCCAGCTGTGAGGTCCGCCATCAATGTGCCGCTCCCTGGGGCATCTCCAGCACCACGAACCCCAGCGGCAATCGTTCCTGCAACCGCTCCCCGTAGTGGTCCGCGACCAGTACCACCTTCATCAGCACCAGCAACGGTACCTCAACGCAGCCGATGTCCACTGTGTCGACGCACACACCGGCTGCAACACTGCAGCATTTTTCGAGGTATGTAGCCCCTCCAATGTCAGCAGGTTGTCCAAGCTCACGAGCACTGCCTCAATTGTTTGGCTACGGTCCACACGACTCCGGAGTGTACGTCCGTTACGCTTTGCCAACTGTGCAATAGACAGCATCACACCATGCTGCACCGCACCCTAAAGCGGGCCGTCGAGCGACAACTCGCCCCAATCTGCAGATCACAGTAGAGCAGCCATCTGGTTCGCCTCCGAAGACCGGTAGCTCCTCCTCCATCCAGACCGAGGCGACAGGAGGCATCAACGCGGCGTCGGCAGCCCAGCCGTTGTTGCCACGCTGAGAAACTACAGCGGTTGCTTGGCTATAATTCGCCTAGGGGGGCCGGGATGGCAAGATGAGTTTCGCCTCCCCCCTCCATACACGCCACTGACCGCTAACACACCACATCAACACGATCCACAAAAAGATTCCACCCACTAACACACACCACCACTGCAGACATCATACCACGCAGACATCACACCACTCAGACTACCCACACATACACATCACATCACACCACAACTCTACACAACCCAACACTCAAAAGTGAAATCTTCAGCCTTTATATATATATATTATTTTTTTTTGATTCTACTTGTAATAAACAAAGCGAATACCCCCGAAAAATCCATTTTAATTTTTTGTGCTTGCAATAAACGCATTTAAACGGTGAGTACAATCGAGTGTATTATTTAAAGTGATTCATTTTTATATTATGGATTGTATATTCGGTCGTTCGATGCTATGGCATTATATACATATACATTAAATACTTTTACACATACAATTAACTATTTTATACAGCGAAAATATTATTTACGAATCCAAGGAATTGTACTTTAGGTTTAATTTAGAAAATGATTCATACAAATATTTGTCAATGGAAAAAATAATGAATTTTTCATTTGGCATTTTACTAAAGATTTTATTTAATTTTTTTTTTTTAATTTTGAAAACATGGTTATGTATAGAAATATATACTTTTTATGAATTGTTCTTAACAACTGGGATACACAAGTGCGTTCAATCGGTATTTGTGCATTTGTGATTGAGGATGTGTATGTTCGAGCAAGCAATCAACTGACGTACAACATTGCGACACTGTTGTTATTCTGCAGATATTCGGATTATACTTAAGCTTTAAACACAAAGATGACTGCACGACAGCGAACTTTTCTCGTCTGAAATTTACGTCTTGAAGCCAGCTACATGAATATTTAGAAAACGGCATCGACATATCAAACAGCTGATGTACACAACTTCGTTGTTGCAGTACTAAAACTGTTGACTTGAATGAAATTTTTTGTGCTAAAAAATAATTAAATAGATCGATTCGTTGTTTTAAATTATCAATCCTTATTACAAATGATATATCATAGCTATTTTATGCATCTGTTGATAAAATAACGTTAGACTTAGAGCTTTGAATTATACATTTCATATATTAGTAGCAACACTAACATAATAATAATAATAATTTTCATTTAGCGACAGCGACAACTGCAAGCCTGTTGCCGTGAAGTCGTGCTGTTGTCCAAAAAACTGTGCCCATAAGAACGTAATATTTTATTATTTGACAGAGGCTGCCTGTCGCTTGACGTCATCTATGTGTTTCATGTATTATACTCCAATAATTTTTCGTCGAATATGATGCCTTGCTATACTGCCGCAGTGATTGAGACTCGAACATCCCCATTTACTCGTGTGAGCATACAAATTAATGTTGGCGTAAATTTTGATCGTCGCTATTTTACAAGACGCTAATTATAAAATGTACGGGTGCGTTCGAAATGGAAATGACGACGGCAGTGTTGCAAATTTGTCAAAGTATCACGTTCTCCGTGAATTTTTGGCAACACTTGCAACACGTTCTACTGTTTTTATCTGCACATCAGCAGAGTCAAGGATGACTTGGCCTTGACAGAGTATCAGGAAATATGCAACACAATAGAAGGACTGCTGCAATTATTATGTAGCTCGAACGCACCCTACAATTCAATTTTCCGCTTCATTCTGGCACATGTTTACTCATTGAAGGTCGAACGTGAATCGGATCTGTATGTCATGTATGACGAAAAGATTTCATACCGATCGAAAACACTAGTGTGCCGTGTATGGCTACTTTTACTTAACAATTCAAAACCCATAAAGTATTCGGCCCTATTCCCGTTATCGTTTCTGAGGTGTTGTCGTTATCGCCGCTTCGTTTCTATATTCGTATTCTTAAAGTATAATATATAAAGCCAAAAAAAATTATCGAAATTTTAAATTGAATATAAGAAAGTGTGTAACGCCCAATAACGCCATTGTATCTGACGTTATTTGTTGTTTTGAAGAAAATATTTTAACCATTTTGTGAATTTAAGTATATAATTTGTTGGATTTGCCGTGTACCATTTTTACTTTAATTTGAATTTTGGGTCGTTCCATATCTTAAATATATACATAAATACAGAAATTTTTAACGCCTTCATAGATATAGAATTGTCGTTCCCACGACAGTCGGGTCTACGTAACCGGAACGGACCCGGATTTATTCCGGCCAAGGACTGTCAACTCGGTATAATTCTGCCGCTACAACAACAACAACATATAGAATTGTAATTTTACAATCTAACTAATTTATGCCAACCGCCGCGACATGGAAGTTTTTTTAAAATACCCCGCCATAAAATATTCAATTGTTTTATCCCCTTTTAAATCTTTGGCATACGCAGGTTTTTTTCCAGTATTTATTCATATTCAATTCAAATAATGCGCTCGTTTCTATCTCGCTCTCAATTACTACAACGACTTTGTATGTCGTTATCATAGTCGTTTCAAAATGGAAAATAACAATTTATTTTCGATAAATGTCGAAACGCCAACAAGAATGCCACATGTCCGATTTTATTTCGTTTAAAGACGAAAACGACAACGGGAATAGGACCGATTATATAATACTCATTGCGGGAATAACATCCAAATTATGTGATTTCCAAGACATAGGGCGCTAAATTTCACGTTCTGTGTGAATACTGATAATCGGCAACACTCAATTTTTGTCTACACATCAACATAGTATCAGCAACGAAGTGTTAAATATGCAACAAAGCTGCTGTACTGCTGTAATTAGTACGTAAGGGTGCCTGCAGAATAGACGGTCAAAGTGGAGCCGAATGCGATAAATCAGCTTTAAAAGTGTGCACGTACATTTTCATACAGAGTCGCTCAGGCGCTGCAGAGTGGAATCCGAACGAAATCTGGTCAATGCGAGAAAACCAGTTTTGAAACGTTGTTTTGCGCCGAATCGCGCGTTCCATAGTTCATTTGTATGGTGGTCTCATATTTTGCTTACGAGGAATTTCTTTACGCTTTTTGTTTTAGCCAAAAAAAAAAATATTGCGAACAAAAAACATAACAGTATAAAAGCAATGTACGCTCGGAATCCAGCGCTGAGTCCGCCTTCACTCTGCGGTACCTAAAATCATAGATAAAATTATCTGAAACTCCTCTCTTTGCCTTCTGAGAGCTCATGAACTCTCAGTGCTGCCAAGAAAAACCACGAGTTCATGAGCTACTGAAAAATACCCAAGAAATACATTTAAAAATCTCAAACTTATTTCTTTCCTTAATGGCACCACTGTCAAATGTTATAAAAAATGTGGACCATGGATAATCTTTGATGTGGACTTTGACAGCGCTCTCTCAAATCAGAGTCGGATCATTTTATCCATGCCTAAAATCGATTTGCGCTCGGCGTTGAGCCACCACACTGCAGGCACTCTAACTCTAACGCACCCATATATATGTACATATCCATTAACATACCAAGGCTAACTGCCTAATGCAACTAGTGTAAATAATGAAACTTTGTGTAAAACCGCTTTAATATATTTGGTAATTTATCAAGTAAATACATTATTCAGCATTAGCGTTTGCGATGCATTTGTAAAGTATTTTTTCGTTTCCATGCAGCGCGACGTGAGCCTCCAATAGTTTGTGAATAACGGTAACCCTTACCAATGCCACGGGAGCTCTTACCAGCCGAAGTCAATCCTCGAAGTTCACGATGCTTATGGACGTGCTTACAAAGCCAACTTATTTTTGGGTCCCTTCTTATTGCATTATGATGAATATCCACCAATATAACTTCGAAGTATTTATAAGAAGCATCCTGAGCAACCCAGTAAGAATTCAAAACTCTCAGACCTCCAAGTCTACGTCCAACTCGTTCCTATAAAAAAAAATTTAAATAAAATAAATTAAATATGTAACCATGCACTTGTTCAAAAAAAAAAATTTAATTTTAAAAATTTTCATCAGACATCTAAGGAAGTTAAAAAAAATCATCACGATTTCATTAAGAATTATTTGTCATCATTTTTACAGAATGAATAATAATATATCTTTGTAACTAAATAACTAGCAACTAACTTAGAATTTACTAATATTACGGATTTTATTTGTCACCACTGTAATGGCCAATTCACATATAATTTTTACTTCGCTTTGTTTCAGACAATTGCTTCGACAGATAAGTTCGTCCCCATCGAAGCGAAGAAAACCAAAACCCGAGCTATTTTATTACGGTTCCCCAAAAACACGGAAAGCAAAATTTGCTTTCTAAAACACCTTGCTTATACGGCATAGCAATAGTGACCTACTCTAATACCATTGTGAAATAAGGGTGCGTTCGAAGTATGTAATAATCATCGATAACATGATCTGAAACTCCTCTCTTTGCTATTTGAGAAAAGCTCATGATCTCATGGTGAATTTCTTCAATAATACTACCTTTTTTTCTCAAAAACAAAATAAACTTTTTTTTCTCAAACACAAATAAAAACATTTTTTTCTCAAAACAAAACAAAAAAAAACATTTTTTTCTCAAAACAAAAAATAAACATTTTTTTCTCAAAACTTTTTTTTTAAATTTATATATCTTAACAAAAAACAAATTGTGATACATTTAAATTAATTCTTTTATTTTTTCCGCTGCTGTAAGGAGTTCGGTACAAAAGAACCATGGACACCCCGGTGTTGGACTGACCTGGCTTATTTTTTTTTGGAGCGCGGCCACCAATGCAAGTTGAAAGAAATAGGACGCGACAGGGATAACGACCACCCCGGTAAGGGATCGGCCAGGGTTATTTTGTTGAAGCGCGGCCGAAGGCCGCCAATGCAGAAAAAAGTTGGAAGTTTTATAACGGATATTGTTACAACTAAACAAGGTACCGTTTTGTCATTGAATTGGTAAATATTGTGCATATAAGTTAATTTTGTAGAGGGTAATTGGGTATTTTATTTATTTTGATTGCTTTCATTCCTAAGGATATGCCAACACTTATCTGTCAATATGGAACGAAAATTTTGTAAAATTAAAATGCTTATTTAAAGCTAATATTTAAATAATTAATATAAAATAAATATTTAGAAGAATTGTAGTGAAGTGTTAGTGTATAATAAGTGCATAATATTATATAAAAGTTAACCATAAATCAAGAAATTGTAAGATAAAAATTGTGAAAATATCTCGAAAAGTATAACTTCCGGCGTCAATAGTTATATATATCCGTGATCTGGAGAATCTCCTCTATTCAACCATACCCCTCTTAACCCTGAAATCGTGGGATGGTATACTAAAGTTTCCCCATTTTTTATTTTTAATGCATAGTAATATTGAAAAATTCACTTTCCGCTCACGGAACTGTAATCTACGGGTAAAAATAAAGACGATTTAACAACAAAAAATATTAATTTTTGAGGCCTCCTTAGTTGGGGGACCTGGAACTATACATTTACCGTTTTAATTAATTTATATATATTATATGAATTTTAAAATTTTAATAATATGAATACGCGTATTTAAGGCTGTATATGCGTGATAAAGGTCTCTCGGGAACCGAGGAGGGTGGGCTTTAGTTTAGCATCCCACGATTTCAGGGTTAAGAGGGGTATGGTTGAATAGAGGAGATTCTCCAGATCACGAATATAAATAATTATTGCCGCCGGAAGTTATACTTTTCGAGATATTTTCACAATTTTTATCTTACAATTTCTTGATTTATGGTTAACTTTTATATAATATTATGCACTTATTACACACACTTACTAACTGCTTCTAAATATTTATTATATATAATTATTTAAATATAACTTTTATTTTAATTTTACAAAATGTTCATGCAAATAAAATCTTTACAAAAAGCAATGTTAAAGAGAATATATCACTCTCTATAAACTTCAATTTTTATTAAGGATAATTATAATAACAGTGAAATTTTGAAAATTTGATATATGAATACTGGCGTAAAAATATAGTAAATCGCATCATGATCCATTTGTGAAATTATCAGATGCAATAAAACATACGTTTAAGCCATAAAACCTTTTTCTTTATTAAAATGGAAAATTAAGTTCATAATATTTTGTAGAGGGTATTGGGTTTATTTATTTTCATTGCTTTCATCCGTTTGGATATGCAACATATCTGACAACATGGAACCCATTTGTTATTGTTCATATTACGAAAATTGTATAAAATTAAATGCTTATTTAAAGCAAATACTTAAATATTTAATATAAAAATAAGAAACATTGTAGTGAAGTGTTACTGTGTAATAAGTGCATAATATAAAGAAAAGATAACCATAAATCGAGAAATTGTAAAATGAATTTGTGAATATTTCAACTTAAAATGCAAATATCTCGAAACTATAACCCTCTATCCAACCATACCCTCTTAACACTGAAATCGTGGGATGCTAAACTAAGTTTTCCCACCGAGGACCTTAAATAATATCGAAATGCAAACAGCCCAAAGGTATTTTTAAAATACCCTATCCATTTTCTCTTGACAGTGGTATGATTGACAAATGTTATACAAAATGTGGGTTTGACAGCTTCGTATTATTATCTATGGTACACAACAGTAATGCATATCGATACTTTACTGATGTGCAAAATTTTGGTGCTGTCGTTTATATGTATTACAGTAGACAGTAGAACGTGATGCACAACGCGAAACTTGGACAAATTTGCAACACTGATGTCGCATTTGCCATCTCGAACGCAACCCAATTCAATAAATTATAAAAATTTGAATTTACCTCAGCAATAGACTGCAATCCACGGTATGGTTTCAACTCATTTACTCCATGACTTTTTGGTTTACCATAAGTGCATCCCTTTGGTACCGGACGTTTGCGACCTCCACGACGTACACGAATTCTATAAATTACGTATCCCTGCTTAGCCCGATACCCCAGACGTCGAGCCTTGTCGGGCCTAGTGGGCCTGGGCGACCTGTGCAATTTTGTAAGTTGTCTATATTGCCATACTCGAATACGAAGCAAATAACGCATTACATCGCTCTGTTTCTTCCTATACAATTCCTGCATATAACGATAGGCGCCCATATTTCAAACAGACCTAGTAACAAATTACATATTAACCAACGGTCACATCATCGGTCTATTCGTACATGGTTTTAACTTCAATTTTTTTTTTTTATTTCAGAATGACTAAATCAACACCACAAATTGTTCAGAGTGGTGCATAGCAATTATCATCACAAAGTTCAAAAATAAAATATTAAGAAGTTTCGCCATGCAAATAGTATATAATATCTTAATATAGTTTTACATCACTGACCTAGTACGTCCACCTCACGCAAGCCTGCGACTTAAAAGACAGGAAAATGGTTGAGTTGGCCGGAAAATGGTTTGTGGGTTTTAATTTTATTACACATGGTCTACACGCTACTGTGACCCGTTCGCCACACGGTCAAGAAATTGCTTTGTAGGCGTGGATACTCTTTTGTCGCTAATTAGCGGCCTTTATACGGTCATTCATGTTTGCAAGCATGTGCGATGGTTTTTAAAAAATTTTAAAAACATGATGTTGTTATGAACATGTTTTATGGTGTAAACGCTTGCATCATGCACGCAGTATATTTTTTCAGTCGTAAGCAAACATTGAAGCGTAACGACGTCACGGATAAACGAAGAACTGTGGAAGGACTTCTTTGAAATTTATCTAAGCGTTCTGGATGGCTGGATTATGAATTTTTAAAAAAATCATATAATATTAAAAAAACATATAAATAAAAAAAATTATAACAAAGAAACAATACAAGTCATAATAAAATATCATGGTTTCATGCTGAACGTTTTAAATTAAATTTGCAAATAAAATTTAGTTGCACGTTGTTCAAAAATATTTGTGTCGTTCCCTGAAATTTCGTTTCGCACTGCTTTTGTTAGCTATTTTTAGCGGGTCTATTTCTGGCATCCCGCCTTTTTTGACATCAGCTGTTCGAAATTCCCTGATTTTAATAATCAGGGAAAGAGAATAACAGAAAAATCAGCGAAAATGAGAGAGTCTCGCTTCATGTCATCCTTGTCATTTCATCCTTGATGTTGCTTCGTTCACAAATAACAGAGAAATAAAGAATGATTACATGTTCGACCGTTTAAACGAAAACCAGTTTTTTTTGCATCATACCATGTTTGCATACAAAAATGATCGTGTAAAGGCCGCTATTATCGGCAAATTCTCATTTAGGGTCGCACTGTGAGTTCCCACGAACGAAAAAAGTCTAGCAACTTGAGTATAGTTTATATGTCATCACTGTTTGCTAAATTTTTGCAAATGTTTGTACGGTTGGGGCAAAGCGAAACTTTGAGAATGTTGTATATTTATCTATTTCACTTGTTGTTGTTTTAGCGGCAGAATTCTGCCGAGTTGACAGTCCTTGGCTGGAATAAATCCGGGTCCGTTCCGGTTACGTAGACCCGACTAACGTGGGAACGGTCTATTTCACTTGTATGTTGGGATGGTGATCCTACATTTTACATACAACGAATTACCATATATGCAATATACCAATATTTAGAATACGCGCCATCAAAATTTTTTTTAGGAAAAACTTATGACGCGAACTCCCTAATCCATCAGAATGTATTAAATAATTACTTTTAATATATTCAACGCAAAAGTTATGACTGGAATTTCCCAAATCATTAGGAATATTGTACCCGTTTAATTTTTTTAAACCATATTTGTTCTATATATAACAAAAAATTCATGAATTTATTAAAATGTTTATTTAAAATAAAATGATATTTGAATTCAATCATTTGCTTTGAAAGGAAATATTTATAAACGCATCTGAATATTATCAGTTTAATTTAAAAACGTAAAAGTAAAACCATTTTTATTACAATTCCTTTATATAATATATGTAAATATTATGACATTTAATACTGCCAAATATTATGAAATATTTAAATGTCTTTCAATTGTCAAACTTTTATTCACCATGATCATAAATATTTCTATTCATAAAATATGGTCAGAATATAATAAATTAAAAGAATTTGAAAGTGAAAAGGAATGCAGAAATAAGTATCAGCGAGCTTTTACGAACAAGAACACAAAGTCTGCCATCCGAGCACGCGTGGCAGGGTCCCTTTTTTTCTCTCCTCATCGTCCCCTCGTTCCAAATAACCCGTTTGATCGGCAAAAGACTCCGTGTGTGAATTGGCACTTGACAGCTCCAATCCAATCAATTTTACACCGTTACAGTTTCAAGGACCAGATGTGTAGTTGATAAACACAATCTACTTGTCAAAATTAATTTAAATTGATAGCCGTGACGTAGCCTGCATGCAACTTGATTAGTCAATATTTGTTTCAAGATGCCATAGTTCTTGAAAGTTTTTCCTGAAATCAATAAGATATATTAAAAATTCTGCACTATAAGCTATTCTAGAGACACAGACATTTTAATGTCTGCAGAAATTTTGTACACCATTAGTTAAAAAAATGCAAATAATATTTATCCAAAATATATACATATGTGGGAACGACGTCCTCGATGGGGATCTTTCCATTGGTATGGAAGATAATAAATAACAAGCATACTATTTTGTAAACGATCAATATTTATTTCATATTTTGTATTCAAATAATATCTGATCTGACAAATTTACAATAATTTTTAGTGTTGAAATATTGTGGATTTCTGACAATGTTTCCGTCGTTTATACAATAATTGGTAGAAATTCCAACTGTTTTGCTATTGTTTTTCCAAAGGATGTTTTACATCCTTCATTTCAGTTGTCTTTGCTGATCGTCTAACTTGTAACTCATTCTTGAGTTCGATGGTTGGCTTTTTCGCAGCATGCGTATTCTAAAGGAAAATTCACAGAAACAACGTTAAGCTCTGTGGTGGCGGAGATTGAAAAATCTCTGGAAGTTAATGAATACGCCCTAATTGCCTTCTTAGATATAGAAAGAGCCTTCAATAATATCCAGCCTAAGGCCATACTGAGTGCGCTTAAGGATCTGGACATCTCTGAACCACTCAGAAAATTTATTGAACACATTTATTGTCCAAAAGGGTACACCTGAAGGAGGCGTGCTATCCCCACTCCTATGGATCCTGACAATGAACAAGTTGCTGTTGAATCTAGAACAGAAGTCACCTTATGCAAACAATCTAAGACGATATTATTCGTTCGGACTTAACTTAAACGCTAGAAAGACGGAACTAGTATTGTTGACCTGGCAGCAGACTAACAATTGGAAAAAAGGCAAGCTACTTAGGACTAATCTTAGACCAGCTTTCATGGAAACAGAGCAATCATGACATACGGTATATTGGTTTGGTGGCCAATAATGAAAAAGAAATACGCAGTGAGGCATATGGAAAATATACAAAAACAGCCAGTATATGCATTAGTGGAGCTAAGTCAGCTCTCAGACTGAGGGAATCCTCCCAATTAGTCGCCTATAACTAGGCACATTCTAAAATACTTAGTAAATTCCCGTTTCTACCCACAACCACTGGTTTCCACAATCCAGTAGATTGGAATCTAAATTCGGAAGCAATTAAGTGATGCCTTCCCCACCAGAGAAAAGTGGAAAAGTGACGAGGTGGACAGGAATGACTGGTTTAGCATCAACAGGGATGGATCTAAACTACATAATCGAGTGGGCGCTGGGGTCTTTTCAGCAAAATTAGACACAAAAGTCGCTTACCGTTTACCAGACCACTGTAGTGTCTTCCAGGCAGAGATCATAGCAATCAAAGCAAACCTTGTTGTATTGACAAAAAGTGTGCTTACAACAAGGAGCATGTATATATCCGTATATATACGGATAGTCAAGCGGCCTTAAAATCACTCAGGTCTCCTATGGTCTCATCAAAGATAGTGAAAGAATGTCTTGATCTATTAGAGGATCTAACATTCTACTTCACGATAAACCTGTAATGGGTTCCAGGGCATAGTGATATCCCTGGTAACTGCGAAGCAGATTGACTCTAATGAACAGGTACCACTTCACAATTAACCTCTGAAAAAGAGGGAATTTTTATGCCTCTGGCAACTTGTAAACACTTAATCAGCGAATATGTTATAAATCTAGCTGAGTCTGTGTGGAGACAATCACTAACTTGATCAACTAGCAGACAAACGTGGCAGGAATGGAGCATGAACCGCACAAACCTGCTACTAAAATTCAAAAGAAATGACAAAAGAACTCTGATAGGAGTACTAACAGGTCACTGTCCAATTGGTAGATATGCCAGCAGGCTAGGTGTAGCTTACAACGACTATTGTAGAAGTTGTCAGGAGGTAGAAGAAGTGGAGACTGAAAAACATCTTCTATGCAAATGTAAGGCTCTATACAGGAAAAGAATCGCAACTATCGGTCGAGGGTTCCTTGACGACGTATCGGAAGTTGCTCATATAAAACTATTTATACTGATGAACTTCATCAAAAGCACAGGTTGGTTCAGAGGGGAGACAATAGAGTGAGAGAACAATTGTAAAATCAAAATTTAAAAAATAATCAAGTAAGGAAGGGGGCTAAGTTTGGGTATAACCAAACGATTTATACTCTTGCAACTTGCAAGGATCAATGCCGCCTAAATATCTTCAGGTGCTAGGAAAACTGTATATTGAACAAGTAAGGAAGTGATAAATTCGGGTGTAACCAAATATTTCATATTCTTGAAACTTGCAAGGATCAAAATTTATAATAAACTGTGCAAAGCTTTATTCTGATAACTTCATTGAGGTTTTATTTGTATACTGGAATCAGATGAAGAATTGGTTTGTTTCATGTGAAAGCTGCGTAACATAGCCGTAAATAAACAAAATTGTGTAATTAATATGTTATTACTGTTATAATTGTTTTTAGGATGTATTGATTTGACAATAATTAATAGTTGAATAACTAGTAATTTTAGTAAAAATCCAATAAAAGGCGGGAGCCCTTCGGAAGATAGTAAATTTAAAAATAAACAATTACTAAGACAATAAAATTAGTTGTATAATACAAGAATTTTATATAAGAGGAGCAAGGAAGGCGTGGTTACCATCCGATTTTGCCTACTTTCACAGCGTCTTATATAATATGTATGTTTGTCACACACCAAATCGGTCAGGAAGTTCCTGAGATGTACGGTTTACCCTAAAGGTGAGCGGTGTCACGCCCATTTAAAAAATCCTTCGGTCAGGCCCGAGTTGTCACCAGAAACGACCTTACAATGGCGGAGTTTTAATTTTGTTTTTTGAAAATCTCAGAAATTATTCTTTAAATGTGTATCATTAAGACAGAAAAAAGTTTAAAATAAATAAATAATTTTTTATATAGAACAAAAATTATTGAAAAGAGGCCTTTTTTTACCCAACGAAACCCATGTAACCCCTTAAGCGGTGTTTCATACTCTAGGTTTCTGACCATAGGTAACATGTAACATGTGAGATTTCAAGCATAATTCTCAGCCCTCAATAAAAGTGTCACTTTTATGGGAGGTAGGATTAGCAAATTACTGTCCAAGCACCCGACTACACCTAGGCTACTACGCAAAACATGTGAAGAGTGGACTGGATATAGTAAGGAATCACTGGTAGATCCGGTCAATACGCATTTTCCAGTGTGTACGGATGCTCCAAATATTCAATTTGTAGGAGGTAGCGTAGAATACGTGCCTACCGATATCATAACGAAGGGTAAACTACTTTGGCTAATCAGCGGCTACGACCCGTTTAAATCACCTCACAATATACGAGGGATAGATCCATGGAAATTGTACTTCCCTCGCTAACCCTAAATATAGAAAGAGCATAAGGAATATGCTCTGGGCGTCTTTCTTGACAAAAGTGAAGCATTCAACATTGTCTCCAATACCGCAATCTTTAACAGTCTGGCAGACCGGATAGAGCCTGCTATCAAAGCATGAATAAATACTCTACTAGCTCTGTTAGCCCAAACAGGAACTCCTCGGGAGGACGTACTGTCAAAACTGCTGTGGTCACTTGTAGCTTATGGGCTTCTGGAAAAATTTGAAAGGAAAGCACCCAAACTAATAGTTTATGCAGATGACATAGTTATACTAGTGACGGGGAAGTTCGTAGACACAAACAGTAACGTAATGTACAACGCTCAAAGTAAATGTCGATAAGACAGATGTTACTTTTGAAAAGCTCAGCAGAAAATCATTGGCGGCGTTAGGTGAATTATCCTCAAGGACCTTCGGACATAGCTTCTTGAGCTAGGGGTTGGTGGATAATATATGGTATACCACATACCCTCACTCTTTATTTCAACTCACACCAAAAGAGGGTGGATGTCGCAGTAGCATGCGACTACGATAGCCAGACGGCAAATAATGCAATAATCTTACATCGCATTACCCTAGATGCAGGGAGGCAGGACCTGTATGACAAATATTTCAGCTTAAATGAAACTAAACCTCCATATCGAACAATATGCAACATAACAAAACAAAATTAAGTGAACTTATTTTCTTAAATATACTGTAATTTGATTTGGTACTGATTTACGAAAAATATTAAATGAAAATGGAATTTTTGACCGGTTAAGTGGGTTTCATTTTTGGCAAATATACAATCTTTTAAAATTTATCAATTAAAGATTTGCATATAAACTGATCTCAAACATAAATTTAATATACATAATTTTTCACTATTTATGTATATTTCTATCTAGCAATATTTACAAAGGAGCGATCTCACAAACGCAAAGGGATAACATTTAGCTGCATTTGCACACAGCTGATATCTTGCGGACACTTGTTTGTACTGGGGCTACATACAATCGCGCAACTAAAGGTATTTTTACTTTAAATATAGTTTTATGCCATTTTTTTTATTATTACTTCTAGTACCCTCGTATCCACGGAGCTTAATATTGTAAATATTGTTTGTTGTTGCTAAATATAATCCTCTATGGGATATTTTCGGAAAAACAAATATGTAAAATTATGAGACGCACTTGATGCGATACGTTTTTCCTAGTATAGTTAGAATTTTGGCAAGATTAGATACGTTTAATTGGTGATGTTCCTTATTCAAAAAAAAATACTAGTATGGAATAACCGCAGAGCTCAATTTGGTAGGTAAATATATTTATTATAATTTTGTGTAATAGTATTAAGAACAAATTATATAATATAATAATTAATTTTTTAGGATGAGCGCGACGGAAAGAAATATTTATTTGAAATGGTTTTATGGTCAAACTGACAGGGATTCATTCGGGCCATCTGACAGTGATTATGAAGACTGGATTCCAGCGCATATTTCTAGACAATCAGTCTCCGCTCACGAAGATCACTCAGAGTAAGATGAACAAGGGCATGATAAAGGAGAACCTTAGAATAGGTTGAGAGTAGCGAGAGTGAGGTAGAAGATGATAAAGCAGAAACTACTCAGATCGAAGGTAATAACAATTGCAATTTTTAATAGTGAATTATTATTAGCACTTATTTTAGGACGGATCATCTGGGAGTTTTATTGCGAAGGATAAAACAATGTCGAATAAAACGCCACCAGCTCAACATCAGACCGCAGCTCGTAATGTTTTACGTCAGGAAAGTTGGCCTTTTCGAAATACAGAAATGTTGTCAATAAGTGCAATACGGTAGTCATAATTGTGCATCACAATAACAAAAAAAGCTGAATTTACTTATCAAAATTATAATAAAAATCATTCAGAATCTCAACGCCAATGGTGGTCTGCTACGATACCAGAAATTTATTCGTTCTTCGGTGTCATAATTTACGCTGGAGCAAAAAACGAAAATACTGAACACTCTTTTGATATGTGGCATTCCAATTCTGATCTACTGTATCGAGCAACAATGGGAGTAAATAGATTTCATATTACAGTACACTCCGCATATAAGAAACTTCGAAAATGTCACTTAATTGCTTGCTTTATCCGGTTTTTCTAATAAGCGGGGTCTTCATGTAAGAAACTTTTCTTATAAGAGTATACCTTCAGAGAATGTTGATGAATAGAGAAGGAGCAAATGTTAGCTGTTCGAAAATGTTAATTACGATGAAGGAACATCGAAAACGCGCAAGTTCGAAAATAAAATTTCACCACAACTATCAGGGTACGAAACGAACACACCACCCTATAAGCAAAATGTATACACATCCATATGCACAGATGTTCTTTGATTTGCGCATAAACAAAAATTGAAATAATAAAAACGAAAGTAATTGACTTCCGACAAGAAAATATAAATAATGAGGGAAATAATATGAAAATTGAATTAAAATATCATTTAATAAAAAAGGGTTATAAAAATAAAAAAAGACTATATAAAAATATGATAGGATGAAACTTAGGCAAAATATTCACGTTGCAATAAAGAAGTCTCTAAACAGCACACCAAGACAATTTCATGCTGTTCTGTCTAATCTGACTCAAACAGCTATTGCTGTTTACTTGCTTCAAATGTTCATACGGCTATATGTGAATATTCTTGAAATGCTCCTTCATTCGCATCCAATATATTTGCATATATGTACACATATGTACATATGATTCCTCAATATGTCTTCGCAAAAATCAAACATTCGCACAAGTGACAAAAACGTAGACGCACCATCATCGGCCAATAAAATTCAAGGAAGTCGCGGCATATTTTCTAAGTATTTCATATTACAACCACAACAAATTCATCATAAGGAACGTCGTCTGCTTCAAGCAAAGTGCGCTCGTTATATACTGCGCCGTGCTTTTTCTGTGCGCCTGGTAAATCACATTGGTTTTCATATAGAATTCCTCGCATATGCGAAATTTTAAATAAAATGAATGAATGAAATTGAATTTGAAGTATTCAGTAAAATTGAAGAAGTTCAATTTAACAACTGATCCTACCATTCCCTCGCATTTGTATGTTGCCCCAAGCTGCTTCTCACAACATTTGCTAAAATCAGAAATTGAAGAATTTGTCTGATGTTCATTTCAGAAAGGAGAATTGCAACATGACCTATTAGCAGAGAATGTTAATGAATAGAGAAGGAGCAATTGTTAACTGAAATCTTTTGAGTACTAATTTGTAATTCCACAGAGGGAACATCGAAAATATAACTTCGAAAAAGAAAATACACCACACAATATGCGAAATGTATAAATAGACACAACGAATATTCTATAGAAAATCGTTGCGCATACCTATTTATATTTATGTTTTCAATTTCTATGATATGACAAATTTATAATTAGAAAGCTTCTGAATTAAAATCTGTATATCGGAAAAACCCCAGAATTCATAATAAAATAAACATTTAATAGGCTAGTTTCCAACTTGTATGTGCGTTGAGTGAGTATTTGCTTATTGAACAAAAGATAACAATAACAGTGGCTAAGCGGCCGCGTTTCCACTTTTGTGGTGGCTGAGGTCGTAAGCGAGAAGGGTGTAAGCACATCCGAATAGAGCCTATACGTTCGAATCTCTAAACTGAAATTTATATTTTTTTATTTTATTAATTGGAGTCTAAGCATATCATAATTCAATTTCTTAATAGCATATTTAACTTCCTGAGATAATTAACATATTTCAGGAAAATATGTTTCATATGTTTGGTTTATTGCATATTTCCTTATTATACGTATTTACACAATGTGATAATCACAATACATTCTAAATACTGTAGGCTGATGCTTGCTTCTTCTTGCCCCGCACAAGCAATGACTTTTCTACGCTTTTGGTTCTTTGAGTTGAACGATCGCAGGCAAGGAGGGATTGGGGCGCACTGCCACATAATTATTTTCAGATATATATTTTATTTATCGAATTTAGTTGAAAACCTATAGAATTTATGTGTATTATATATATATAATAATATATATTATATTACGAAAATAATTCATAAATGCATCAATATTTCAATACAAATTAAGCAACATATTAATATATTATGGCCTCTTACTTGACACGCCTATGTGCATGGTGGCAACCAACAAATAACGGGAGTTCGCGCGGACATTGTGTTGTGAAAACCAAATGACATCCGACTTGCCGACATAACTATACATAGTTATAACATACATACATACATATATAGCTCGCATACATATTGACACCAAATTGTGTGAATCGTCGCGGGTTGACAAAATTTGTTTGTACCGACAATTTTGCGACAATGTCGGTCGGCTATGTTGTCTCGTTTGCCTTTTGCAGTGGTTTGTATTGAAAGTTGACTTATGCTCTTTGAAATATTGCGATTACCGATTGGCTGCATTTTCATAGCGTCGTATTAGAATAAATGGCTAAATCGAAAAACTATGAAACAGTGAAATAAAGTAAACATGTAAAAGTACTATATGCAGTGTGCATAGATATATAGAAGTAGTTAAAGATTTCTTATGAAGGCAATTTTATATAAATTTTTAATTTAATGCCTATATAGTGCATAATATGCAAATATATAAATATTATTTAAACTCGCTAATAGGTCATGTTGCCAATTCTCCTTTCTGAAGTGAACATCAGATAAATTCTTCAATTTCTGATTTTTAGCAAATGTTGTGAGGAAGCAGCTTGTGGGCAACATACAAATGCGAGGGGAATGGTAGATCAGTTGTTAAATTGAAACTTCTTCAATTTTACTGAATACTTCAAATTCAATTTCATTCATTCATTTTATTAAAATTTCGCTTATGCGTAGGAAATTCTATATGAAAACCAAATGTGATTTACCAGGCGCACAGAAAAAATAGCGCGCGCAGAGTTATGAACGAGCGCACTTTGCTTTGAAGCAGACGCACGTTCCTTATGAATGAATTTGTTGTGGTTGTAATATGAAATACTTAGAAAATATGCCGCGACTTCGCTGAATTTATTGCCGATGATGGTGCGTCTACGTTTTTTTGTCACTTGTGCGAATGTTGATTTTTGCGAAAGACATATTGAGGGACATAATATGTAAATGTGTTCATATATGCAATATATTTGGACATGCGAATGAAGAAGGCAATTTCAAGAATATTCACATATGCCATATGAACATTTGAAGCAAGTAAACAGCAATAGCTGTTTAGTTCAAGATTAGACAAAGCAGCATGAATATTGTCTGTGGTGCTGCTTGTTTAGCAGACTTCTTATGCAACGTGAAATATTTTGCCTAAGTTCAAATCCTATCATATTTTTATATAGTCTTTTTATTTTTATAACCCTTTTATTAAATGATATTTAATTCAATTCATATTTCCTCATTATTTATATTTCTTGTTCGAAGTCAATTACTTTCGTTTTTATTATTTCAATTTTGTTTATGCGCATATCAAAGAACATCGTGCATATGGATGTGTACATTTTGCTTATAGGGTGGTGTAGTTCGTTTCGTACCCTGTAGTTGTGGTGAAATTTATTTTCGAACTTGCGCGTTTTCGATGTTCCTTCATCGTAATGAACATTTTAGAACAGCTAACATTTGCTCCTTCTCTATTCATCAACATTCTCTGGTTAAACAAAACAAATACAGTTTATTTATTACACTTAAACTTTTGCATAAAATAAAAAAAAAAATTAACAAAACATTAAATTTATTTCAAAATCAACGCATTCAAAGGGTAATTTATTTTTAAGCCAAGTAATTGGAAGCTTCAAATTGATTAGGAAGTTACAAAATAGTTAATTTTTTTTGTGAACAAGTGATTTGTCTCGTTCATTAAAGAGAATTTGCTCAATGTTTATTATGTTATCATTGTCATTTAAATACTGCTTCAGTATAAACAAGGCATGTAGCGCTTCTTCTCTGCTAGGCTGCATGGCACTATCTGCAGAGTTTTCTTAAATTTCTTCTTCCTGTATTTTATTTATTATATCATCTTCGTTTGCAGCTCCGAAACAGTTCTCTTTTCCTAAATCAACTATGTTTTTAAAAAAAGTTTCGTAGTCTACAGTCTCGCAAACATCATCTGAAGCAAAGCCATCGGTTTCACAATATACTTGTACATCACTAGAATTAATATCATCTAATGAGTCTGCCACATGGATTCCATCGTGAATTCCCGCCTTTTTAAAACAATTTTGAATTGTTTGTGGAGTGACAAGCCACCATGTGCGTATGATGATATACAAAGCCCTCAAAATAGAGATGCTTTTTAAAAATTTAGCCATTATTCCGCCCTCTGCAGCTAAAATTTGTTCGCGGACTAAGCACTTTCTGTAATGTGATTTGAAGGACTGGATAATTCCTGTAACATATTATATAAAATAAGAAAAAAATATTTGGTATGAACTAAAATTGGCAAATATAACATACCTTGGTCCAAAGGTTGAATTAAACTTGTAGTACAAGGTGGCATAAATACAATTTCAATGCTTTTTGGTTCAAAATCTAATTTGTGGCATGAAGCATTATCAATTAAGATTAATATCTTTTTATTTTTTATGGTAAACTTATCATCTAGCTCTTTTATAATTTCTCTCCATATAGTACTGGTCATCCACGCTTTTTTATTAAATTTGTACGGGATAGGAATGATCTTTCCCCTAAAACATCTTGGGTTCTTATATAATATTTGCCGATTGCATACACATATTTGTTTGTACCAATACAGTTGGTTATAAAAAGCAATGTGATTCTCTCTTTTGGCGTCTTAAACCCGCTGGATGCTTGGCTTCCCGCAACATAGGACCCAGTAGGCAGAGCTTTATAAAAAAGACCCGTCTCGTCAGCGTTATAAATATCTTCTAACGCA